ATTCCATTCATTCATTGTTGTGCCCTTCTCCCCACACCCACTCCCACCCCCAGTTTGCTCCTCTCCTTGATAAGCAAAAAACCAACTCCTTCATTTGTACACAATCCCCTCCCCCCTACACATCCCCATCCTCACCCCAAGTATATACTCAACTCTGCAACCCTCATTCCGGACTCTTTTTTTTTTTTAATTTTATTATTTTTGTGTGAGTGTACCGTCAAATCAGATCTGACTGGTACAAGAGGAAATTGTCCCTCCTTCCCGGCAGAGCATCTGGTGGATTTGAACCGTGCACCTCTGGGATTGTAGTTGCAGCTCATTGCCACTAGGCCACCAGAGCTCCCCCGGACTCTTATGATGGAAAGCTGTCAGTAGAAATGTGTAAGGGAGTCAGAACAACTGTGAAATATCATCTTACCCCAGTAAAAACAGCAAAATTTAACAGAACTGCAAACATCAAATGCTGGCAAGGTTGCGGAGAAACTGGAACCCTTATTCACTGTTGGTCACAGTGTAAAATGGTGCAACCACTATGGAAGGCTATGTGGAGCTTTCTCAGAAAGTTGCAAATAGAAATACCATTTGACCCAGCAATTCCACTACTGGGAATTTACCCTAGAGAAACCGTAACTGCCACCCAAGCAAATATATGCACACCCATGTTTATTGCAGCTTTGTTCGCAATAGCAAATAGCTGGGAACAACTCAAGTGCCCATCAATACAAACAAATGGCTAGAGAAGCTCTGGTATATTCATACAATGGAATACCATGCAACATTGAAAAACAAGGAACTCATAAAATATTATACAAAATGGGTGACCCTGGAGGACATTATGCTGAGTGAAATATCTCAGTCACAAAAGGACAAATATTGTGTAGGGCCACTGTTGTAAAACAGGACTGACATCAGTGTTGAGAGAAGACAGAGAAGGAGGGAAGGAATGATGTATACTGCATTGAAACAGATGAGGGAGAGAACTGTATAAAAGAGATATATGATTGAGTATTATTACTATTACAGGAGTCCAGAATGAAGGCTGCACAGTGGAGTGAACCTGGGGGTGGAGGGATTGCTTAACAATGAAAGAGTTTTTCTTTTACTTTTCAAGGAGAAGAGTGAATTGGGGGGAGTGGCGGGCAGGGAGAAAAGTGTAACTATGCATGACTGGAAATCCTAAGTGTCTGTAAACTTTCATTTAAAAAAAAGTGTGTAAGGGAGTGAGGGAAGCTTAATGAGGGCAAAGAAAGAACTTGCAGTGCAGCATTTCTCCTGAGAAAGAGGAAGGTGTGAGTCTGTAGCAGCCAACATTTGCAACAGGACAGCATGGATACTGAACATTTCCATCATTGCAGAAGGGTCACTTGGGCAGTACTTCTTTCGGTTGTCAGTGAGCATTTATTAGTATTTGCCTCCCTCCATGTAGAGAGCTGGTGGATTCTAACTGTGCCTTTAGGATTGTAGTGCAGGTTCTTACCACTGGGCCACCAGAACTCCCGTAACTAGATAGCTTTTTTTAAAATTGTGGTTTGATTGAAAATTTATGGAGCAAATTAGTTTTCCATTTAACCTTTAAAAAATGTTATGACATTAATTTTCATATTCACATTGTAACTGTACTCTTTTTGCTTGTATACTGTTGTTGTTGCTGTTGATTGCCTTCAAGTCAAGCACAACTCTTAGCGACCCTATGAACAAAAGGCCTGAAGCCCCTCTACTACTATCAACATTTATCAAAGTTCATAGTTTCCAGAGGCATGTTGTTTAGTGGATGGCACTTCTGCTTCCAACTTGTATACTAGAAGTAGCTAATGTTACATAGTTATAGAAATGAATATTCTAGACCCCATGGTCTTGGGTAGAGAAAATTTATCCCGAAGTTACTAGTATTTTAGCTCCAAAATGTATGTTTAATTGTGTGTTAATCTAATTAATTAGATGTTTAGTAACTAATTCCAGTTGTTACTGTTATTGTTGTTGTTGCATGCCGTAAAGTTGGAACTAACCCATAGCTGACCATCGTCCCGTGGAGCAGCTGGTGGATTCTAACTGTGTGCCTTTAGGATTGTAGTGCAGGTTCTTACCACTGGGCCACCAGAACTCCTGTGTTCCTATTAACTGTCCCATGTTTGTGTAATTAGAGGCCTCAGGTCATTTTCAACTCATAGCAACCTCATGTGACAGAATGGAAGCAGATTGTTAGATCTTTTTCCCACAGAGGCATTGGATGGGTTTGAACTGTCAACCTTTCAGTTACAGTTGCATGCTTAATAGTGCTGCCAGGGCTCCTTACTGCATTTATTAGCTTATGAACGTCCATTTGGCATATACATTAGCAGTTTCTTGTGATAGTGAGGAGGTAAATGAATATCAGAGTTAGACTTCTTGGGCTTAATTCTTAACTCATTTACAACAATTACATTTGGGGCAAGTCATAAAATTTCTTTGCCCTTGGTTTCCTCATCTATGAAATAGAGATGCCAGTGTTGCAAAGATTCAATGAATAGCACTTAGATGTATCTTTGTTATCAATGTTGTATTGACTTGTATAATTTCTGTTAATAGTAATTACCTGTAACATGAGTGTTTATAGAGAAGAGGTTATTCTTTTGGGTGAACAAATTGACATAACTTTTTAAATTAGGATAAATTATTAGCATAAATTTTTACTTATTCAGATTCTGTTGGCCTGAATACTTTTGATTTTTTTTAAATTTTTTGCACTTTTTCACGTTTACTTCCCCCCCTCCCAGACTACCCTGCAATGCACCCTTTGCTCCAGATTGTTTCATACATATGTATGCATCATATATGTATATGTAATGGCTAATCAAATTTGGTGGAAGAATCATCAGCAACCTGCTTTATGCAGATGACACAACGCTGCTTGCTGAAACTGAGGAGGACCTGAAGCGCTTGCTGCAGAAAGTCAAGGACTGCAGCCTTCAATATGGATTGAAGCTCAACATCAAGAAAACAAAAATCCTCACCACTGGGCCAATTGGCAGCATGGGTATGGATGGTGAAAGAGATTGAGATGGTTAACAGTTTTAGTTTACTTGGCGCCACAGTCAACACTCTTGGTAACAGCAGTCAGGAAATCAGGAGAAGAATTGCATTGGGGAAGTCAGCTGTGAGGGACCTCTCAAGAGTACTGAAGAGCAACAACATCAGGCTGGAGACTAAGGTGCGCCTGATCCAGGCTATAGTCTTTGCAATTATGTGCTATTCGTCAGAGAGTTGGACAGTGAATAAGGATGATAGAAAGCGAATTGGTGTCTTTGAGCTGTGGTGCTGGAGAAGAGTGTTGAATATACCATGGACTGCTAGGAGAACAAACAGGTTTGTCCTGGAGAAGGTGAAGCCAGCATGCTCCTTGGAGTCAAAGATTCTGAAGCTTCATCTGACATACTTTGGGCATGTGGCAAGGTCCTTGGAGAAGGACATCATGTTTAGGAGAGTGGAGGGACGGCACAGGAGAGGAAGACCCTTGATGAGATGGATCAATTCTGTGATTGGGGTGATGGCAATGAGTGTTTGAGACAGTGAGGTTGGCACAGGATAGAACAGCGTTTAGGGCTGTTGTACGTAGGGTTGCTCTGAGTTGCAGGCGACTCGATGGCACATAACAACAACAACAATGGCTAATCATATATTCCTTTCAGACAATTGTTCCCCCCATATATTCTAATGCCATGTTCATTATCTATCCATTCTTTCTCCATTCTCTCCCCAGCCCCCCATGTCTGTCTTGTTTTGTAACAGTGGTGTTATGCAATGTGTTTTTTTTTCTTTTGTGACTCAGCTATTTCACTCAGCGTAGTATCCTCCAGGCTCCCTCAAGTTGTATAATGTTTTAGCAGTTGGTTGTTTTTCGGTGGTGCATAATATTCCATTATTTGAATGTACCATAGTTTTTCTGTCCATTCATTTGTTGCTAGGTGCTTGGGTTGCTTCCATCTCTTTGCTGTTGTGGATAATGCAGTAGTAGACATGAGTATGTATACATCTGTTTGAGTTGTGGCTCTGGTTTCTTTCGGGTATATTCCCTATAGTAGAATTGCTGGGTCAAATTGTATTTCTACTTCCAACTTTTTGAGATAGCTCCAGACCACCTTCCATAGTGGTTATACCATTTTACATTCCCACCAGCAGTGAATAAAAGTTCCATTCTCTCCACACCCTCACCAGGATTTGCTGTTTGAATACCTGATTCTTATGGTTCTATCTTTTAGGTACTGATTTTGTGATACTTACTATTTTGCTAAAGTTTGTCAGTTTTATAATATTTTCTTTTACTTGTGTATAATCAATTATATACATTAAGTGTTATGGAATTTATAGATAAAACATTGTACTCAATGACAAAGATATGGATAATAATTTTTTCTTCCTAGGACTGAAAATCAGACTTCAGATTCAGAAAACAAAGCTAAAAAGCTCACATTGCCTCTCTTTGGTGCTATGAAAGGAGGAAGCAAATTCAAATTAAAAACTGGAACAGTAGGGGTAAGTTGAGGGTCAGGGTTTATCCCTGAGCTATATTTTGGGTTTTTTCCCCCTTATAAAAGCTTAAATAGTTCATGTTATTATAATGTAAAATAAAGGTTGTGGGTTTTACTTTGAATCTCATTTTTAGAATTAGACTTTTGGATTTTCTGTTCCTCTTATGGTTATCCAAAATTGGAGAATTGGTTGAAGCCAGTCAATTTTTAAGTAACCAATTTGTAAATGAGAGTATCAGTTTATTACTCTTTGGTGGCTGTGTGTTTAAGAAAAGATCTGCTTTAAATACTTTTTTCCTAATGCATAGATGTAATATCAGACTCAAATAATAATTTGTTGATAACATAGTTTATTGTTGGTAGCATGGTCTGTCGGTTAATAACATAGAGAGCTCTGATGGCCTTGTGGGAGGAAGCTGCACTGCAATCTTGGATGCACACGGTTTGAATCCACAGCAGGAGAAAGATGGGCAGTCTCCTCCAGTGTAGTTAACTGCCTCTGAAAGCTGCCAGACAGTCGGCTAATGGGTCAGTTCTGACTCGATGGTAAACAACAGTAGCATAATCTGTGCACCTGATATTCCATGCTGCTTTTAATCCCTCCATTGCTTTGTAGGAGCACTCAAAACTCAACCTCATTACCATTGACTTGTTTGGTTTATTTTTAGCAGTCCATGGCATATTAACTACTTTTTTTTCCTTAGATGATTGGGACCTCTTAAACATTAAATCCTTATGGACATCAAAAGACTTCTCCAAAATAGTCAAAAGAGAACCTTAGAAAATGGGGAAAACTATTTGGCAATGAAGTCTCTGACAAGGGACCTGTCTCTAAAATTTATAGAAAGCTCCCAACACCTCAGAAAAAAAAAAAAAGAGAGGCAGACAATAAAATTTAAAAATTGGCAGAGGATATGAGAAGCTTCTTCATCAAAAAAGACATTAGCTGGCAAATAAACACATGAAGAAATGCTCAAGATCACTAGCTATTTGAGGGATGCAAATCTAAATATCATTTCACCCCGGCAACAATAGCAAAGTTCAGTAAGATAGCAAATAAGTCCTGGCAAGGATGTGGTGAGATTGGAACTCTCCTACACTTCTGCTGGGGATGCAAAATGGTGCAACTACTATAGAAAATAGGCACGTCCTTGGACATTGAGAATAGAAACTCCCTTTGATCCAGCATCCTACTACTAGTTATGTATCACAAAGAAATAAGAGCTCCAACATAAATTGATCAGTTTACACCCTCAAATTTAGTAAAAACTACATTTACTGCAGTTGGATGGATTCTGATTGATAGTGACCTTGTAGGAACTGGCTCGGTCTAAGGCTATAGGTCTCTATGTAAACAGATTGCCAGCTCTTTGTCCCACAGACCTGTCATTAGAAGTTCAACACTTTAATCAGCCTCCTTCCACCTCTTCGAAGATTTTGGGGTAAATGAAAATCCTTTAATGTCATGAAGTGCAGTATTCTTGCTGCAGGGACTCAAATAAATGTTGTCAACAAGCAGCTTTCACATGTTTTGTAGTTAATAGTCTTTTGATCTTAAAGGCTAATGACAGCACTTGCTAAAGGTCATAGACTTTTAAAAAAAAAAGTGACTGTCTTACTGCCAGCAGACTTTTAGAGAATTTATCAACCTAGAAAATGTAGATACTCTGTAGTTAGCCTAACCACTTGAAAAGATTTGTATTCTTTTATCTTTATGGAAAACTACTTGTCCATGATCATGTTTCCCTTATAGAAGTTACCCCCTAAGCGTCCAGAGCTCCCTCCAACTCTAATGAGAACAAAAGATGAACCTGAAGTAGAAGAGGAGGAAGAGGAGGAGGAGGAAGAAGAAGAGTGTGAAAAGAAAACAGTGGAGGCTGGAGGCAGTGGGTTACAGCAGGAGACAGAGCCAGGAGCTGTGGTGCAGGAAGAGAGTCCTCCCGCAGAGGTCACGTGTTCTAAAGAAACAAAAGGCCAAGGTAGTAACTTCCTCTCCTTTGTATACTATTCAGTGGGAAAACTGCATTAATTGTGGGTGAGTTTGAAAAAGGAAAGAGTTCTTGCCTGTGCCTATTGGGTGAGTATATACATAAATCTGACAGTCTTTATTTATCCCCATTGCACATTAAAGGCAGGTAATTCCAGTACAACAGAGGATGGAAAAGTGATGGAATCTCAAGCCACACCTAATATAAGACATTTCTGAGCTGGGACCATGGAGTTAGGTAGTAGAGAATGGGGCCTGATCTGATGGTCTCAGATAAATCTCCTCTTATTAATTTTTTTTTCCATCCCTAAGACAGAAGTTAAGCATAATTATATAGCTGCTGCTTTAAACTTCTCTAAGATCATACTTTATTCTTTTTTTCATCTTTGATACCTAGGATAGCACCAGGCACATATACTCACCCCAAGAAAGAATTTAGGAACAGTGTTGAAAGAGGAAATTGATTGATTTTTAAATATCTTTTTCTTATTATAGAAGGAATTTATGTCTAATACAGAAATTTTGGGAATGCATGAGAGTCCAAAGAAGAGAAACATCCCACAACCTCACCCCTAGGGATCATTATTTATTTTTCTAATATCTTATCCCTTGTCAACTACATGGGTTATTTTTCTGAGAAATACCAAGATTAGTTATATTGTTTACTAAGACTAAGGTCTCACAGAAAATAAGGAGCAAGAGAAACAACAATAAAATCTGTGAGAATGCCTGCAGGTGTACTTTCAAAACAAACCAGGCTTGTCTATAAAAACACCAGGCCTCCATGCAACACTGCTTCTGAATTACTTTCAGTTTTGGGAAACATAAAGTTAACTGTTTCCTCACCTGTGAGAGGCATATCTTTTGTATATGCATCTCTCCTTTGTTTAGACATTGGCATAATACCTAGCTTTTTAAAGAGTAGTGGAGTACCTACGCGTGTTTATTCTAGGTCTGCCCTTTGATACATACTTTGTGAAGGTGGTATATAAATAGATATCACCACCCAAATGATCATCAAGAAGGGCAACAGTAATTGTATTTTGCTTAAGGAGCTTGAAGTACGCATACGTATGTAAAAAAGTATTACAAATTTAAAAATTTGATTTATAAGATAAACTAATCTAATTATGCTAATCCTTTTTTCTGTGTTTATTTTTTACAATGTTGGGATTGTGTTATCCATGTTACTTTATAAGCTGTTTTTCCAATAACTTAAAATACTCTTTTACACCATAGTTTTGAACAAAGGATAGGAAATATGTTCCTAAAAAAAAGAATTTTTAGGCCAAAGAGTATGCATAATCCTAAGGATTTTGTAATTTTTTGTACATCAGCACTGGCCAATATTTTACGTAGATGATATGTGCTTCTCTGTTAGCCATCTGGAAACACCATTATTGAAAACCTACTTAAGGCTGATAGGATCTGATAATAGTGAAAGCAGGTGACTGGGTCTTTACTTAGCTGTTTTTGGGGCTATCCACCATGAGATGGTAATTACTTTCATCCTGCTTGTTGTAGAAAATATGTCACAACTTGGCGATGTGGAAGAGAATAAGGAGGATCAAAAGATGAGTGAACCCACATCATCACGTGGCCAGGAACCCTCAGGCAAGTAGTACCACTGACGTCATGGCTGTTCTGTATACTTGCGACCCTCTAGTTTGGTAGAGGGGAGATTGGCAGCTGACTGGAGGGCAGCACCAGGAATGGCTTTATAGTTACTGGCCAGAGCTGCTTTTAGTGCCCTGGGTAAAACTGGAGTATGTGAGAGGTTTGTTTTGGTGTCACCCTATTTTCCCTTCCTTACTGCTCCTCTCCTCCCTGGCTTCCCTCCCCAGGGCTCACAGAGCACCTACTTACTGCCTTTATGCTTCCCTATGGTCATGACAAGCCCACCACATTATTAAATCCTCAGAGATAAATAGGGCAAGTCATGGGAGTGATTCCAAAGCTATGGATTAATTGTTGACCTGACAAGATTATTCCCCTTGGTTTACTGGTAATGATTTAACTGTAAAATTAAAAAAAAAAAAAAATTCCTTTCTTTCCTTTCACTTTTCATTTGGTATGCGTATTTGAAAGCTTATAGTTTCAGGATTTGAAAACGAATTATTATGAGGAAAAGCTTCTTTCATATAGTTTTTACTGCAGTGGAAGGAATTTGTGAGACTTGTCACTGACATGTTTTATTTGATAATTAGTGTTCCCTTATGAGGAATTTTTTGTTTGTTTGTTTCTTTATTACTTTTCCTAAAGATAGCAACTGCCTCTCTTTTTTTCCCCTTTTAAAAAAATAGCATTAAAGAAGGAGTGTGAAAAAAGCAGAGACGAGTTGAAGAAAAAGAAAGCTACGGGTCCGAGCAAGGTGAGTACAAATGCCCCCCTTTGTCATGGACCACAGCTAGGGTAGGAGTCTTTGGGGACTCTGTGTACCAGAGTTCTCAACTGCTTTACAGTCTTCTCTTGCTAGAAATTTGGGCTTTATTTTTTCTCTTGTCTTTCTTGAGAATGTACTCTGCAAAACATACACCAGTTTAGCAGTTTTGTTTTCTGTACGTGGGGTGTGGTGATGTCAGATACACTCATGAGCTGTGCAGCCACGCTCACCTGGCCTTCTCTGTGTTCTTCCTCATTGATAAATTCAGGATACCCCTACGTTTCTATCTAATCTTTTCAGTTTGTCTTTGTGAATTCAGTTCCATATAGATAATTCTTAATGAACATCATGTTCAAAGCAGATCTTGTGACCTTGTATACTCGTTGTGCTAAATTAAACTATTGTTCGGTTTTACAATGACTTCATGGGATATTTCTGCTTTAAAGTTTAAAGCATATGTCAGAGCAGCATTTTCAGGGGTTCATCTATCCTTTCTGGTTCCAGAAAGTCTGAAGTCCGTGAGAATTTGAAACTCTGTATTTGCTGCGTTTTGCTCAGGACTCATCTATGGACTCTTGGTCAAAATGTAACCGTAATTGAACCTCATCCAGTTCTGGGCTCGGCAAAGTAGGTAGTGGTGCATGGAGCCAAGAAGTCACACATTCCGTTTCCTTCTTATTCCTAATTCTCCTTTCTCTGTTGCTCTGGATGAATAGAGACCATTTTTTGTGCCTGGGACAGCCAGTTGTAAGCTTCTAAGACCCCAGATGCTACGGAGTGAACGAACAGATAGACCAGAGGCACAAAACACGTTTTTTTTGAGAGTTAGCTGCGATAGCCCAAAGAACCAAATGCAAATGAAGTGTTTGAACATAAGCAGCTGCAGCAGCTACTCTTTTTCTCTCTTTTATTGTTATTTTTACATTTTTGTGTTTTGAATTCTCAATTCTTAAGTCTAGCCCTTGTTTCCATTCCTTCTGTTCTTTCTAACTCCTCACATGTCCCTCTTTTATTGGTTAACTTGTGACTCCTCTTTCATATCCTAGTAAGCCATACACAGATACTTGAAATACATTCTTATTTTCTTTCTTTTGATAGACAAAAGGTAGAATAGAGTATACTTGATCCTACATCTTTTTTATTCCTGGGAAATCGTGTGTTTCTGACCTTAGGGTCTTTCTACCATGTGGCTATGCCCTAATTAGCAGTCCCCTATAGATGGACACTTGGGATTTTCCAGTCTTTTGTTTGGAGAACAGTAATGAATAATCTTGTGTATATATAATGTTGTATGCATACAGAAAATTCTCAGAAATGGGATTGCTAGGTCAAAAGGCAAAAAGGTCAGATTGCCCTCTAAGGTGATTATAACATTTAGCATTCATAACTACTGCTTTTTAAAGGCCTCACATTACTCTTACTGGCGAGAAATCAGCTTGCTAAAATGTCATGGAAATAAAAATCCAGAGACGAATGCTCTTCTGAAGTAAATTACTGTGTCATGATTATGAATGGAAGCTGTTCTGTGTTAGTTTTTGTTTGCTAACTAACAGCCATACAAATAATAATTCATAGAGATGATACTTACTTGATAATTTTCAATAAATGCATCTTTTCTTTGTAGGTTTTACCAACACTTTCCTCCAAATACCCAGAAGATGACCCAGACTACTGTGTTTGGGTCCCACCTGAAGGTTAGAGGGTTTGACTTTGTTCTTTTTCTAATACCTCTCATTTCTCTTTGCCGTGACATTGGGATCAGCTCACAGCTGACCTTCCAGCAGATTATCAGAAGCTGTAAATCTCACTGAAGGAGATTGTCTTATCTTTCTTTCTAGTATTTTTAGTAGGTAATATATATTCACAGAGGGGAGCTCGGCAGTGTAGTCCCAGTAAGTTGCTCCGCTGACCCAAATCTTGCGTGTCTCTGGTAGTTTGAATCCTCAGACCTCCTAGCAGCTCATCGCAGGGAGCTGGGCAGCCTCCTCCTGTTGTGACAAAACAGCCTCAAAAACCTCTTAATATAGTGATAGTTGATATAGTGTATGGCATGACCTGAAAGATCAGCGGTTCAAATCTGCTAGCCATCCCGTGGAGGAAAGATGGGCATTCTGCTCCTGGAAGAACTCACAACCTTGGAAATCTGATAGAGGGTTGGTATCAGTTGGAAGTGATTCAACAGCAGTTGTTTTGGTTTTTAATATATATTTCAATTAAAAATAACATTACAGGAAGATATAATAAAAATTGTCTTTCTTAGGCAGCAGATACATAAAAAGGATCTAGAAACATATAAACCAATTGCTGTTTAGACCCTGATTGGATCCTTATTTATATAAACAACTTTTTAGGAAAAAGACAAAATCCTGAACCAGTTGGATAAATTTGAACACTGGCTGGATATTTGATGATACGAGAAAATTACTGTTAATCATTTTCAAGTGTGAGAAAGATGTCAAGTTGTGCTTTTTTATTGTTTTGAGTGCTTTTGTCTGCCTTAAAAGTACTTATTTCAAGAAATATATACAGTAGTGAGCACCGAGGAGTAATTTCTGGTATTTACCTTATGTAACTCCGTGATAGAGGAGGGTGGATGAGGAAGGGCTGAGAGAAGCAAGCTGATAGTTGTTAAGGCGGATGATGGTAAATGAAAGTTCATCATGCTCTGTGTATGTCCTTTTATTTTTGTGTATGCTTTCGCTTTTATTCATTAAGTTTGATAAAAGTCTTCTGACTGTGTCTCATCCACCCAGTTTTTCATTAACTACAACCAAATATTCAGTTCCTTAGATGTATATATAAAATACCTATAGGATATGTTAAATATCTAGGGCTTTACCTCCTGCTCTTTTCTTACATGAATGAAGCACTATCTATATAGATTCTTTTATCTGCACTTAACACTATTTTGAGGATTTCTTTTTTTATGATGGCAGTGTTCTTACTTGTGGTACGTCTGCACCTTTGCTTATTTAATCAGTTCCCTTGAGAGGCATTTATGTGTTTTCAGTCTTTTGCCACCGCAAGCTGCTCTGTGATAAGTAAACTCTAACATAGGGAATTTCACAAGAGCAAAGGTGCATCTGAAGAAAACGTTTCCTAAAAGTTAACTTGATGGCTCAAAGGCTCTGAACATTTTTAAGATATTACCAGATTGCATTTTATTAAAGATGTGCTCGTTTGTGGTCATGTGTACCAACCTTAAGCAGTGGATGGGGAGCATGTTTCCCCAGTATGCTAATCACCAGTTGCTTTTTCTGGAGACTGTGTCTAATAGACTTTGTGATTAATGAATAGAAGCTAAGTTACTGAACATGTTTGTTTTTTATATACAAGGGTTAGAGTGAACAGTGCTTAGAAAATGTTTTTTATAAAAGTTTTATCATCAAAGCAAATAGTTTACTTTTAACCTGTTGTGCCTAGGTATTTTTATTTTCTTCATGACTTTGGAAAATGAATATATTTCTTATTTTTTATGTGTTCTAATTTAGGCCAAAGTGGTGATGGCAGGACCCATCTTAATGACAAGTATGGCTACTGATGGCTTCAGAATCCCTAAAGAAGATCTTGTGGGCCACGTGACGTAGGGAGTTGTTACCAAGTTGAATAGGCAGAGGAGTTAAGACGATGGTTTGGAAATCTGATGACCTCTCTTGTCTTCTGTGCTTTTGTCTTCCCAAATGTACCTGCCCATCTGATTCTCCTGAATTTGGTATTTATGTTTTAAGTGTTTTGTGTATGTATGTAAAAAAGGAACTGTATATATTTTGAGAATAACTAAAAATGGAGATGTGATCCTGTTAAAAGAGAAGGCAAAATTTGTCAGTGCTGTTATTTTAAAGTCATAAACTCTTCCATTACATGTCAGAGACCATGCTTTTTTCTTCTGGAGTTGAGCTCTAGGTTCACTGATAATCCTTCTGAAGTATTAGAATGTGAGGTTGTGTCGTGGCTGTTATCCTGGGTGTCCCTGACATGCTTGGAACTGAAAATGGATGCGCAGTGGGGGTTCCTGCCCCTCCTCACCCTCACCCTGTGCCAGGTTTGAGAATAGACTCTGCCCAGTCAGCCCCACAACAGGACCATCTTATCTCTCATGCCCCCCAAACTCCAGTCCTGATAAAAACACCCTATGAATGTCCATATTAGGCATCCATCACATTAGTCACTCTTTTTCCATACAAAAAGACAAATTAGTTCATTCTAAGAAAAGCTGAATGTGTTCTGCCCAGCATGGGGCTTCTTACCTCTATGGAGAAGGGAATAAAAGTTCTTTCCTCTCTGGAGAAAATGAAGAAATCAGGAAAGTGTCTTATCCCCCTGCCTTCTGCCCTCATTGTAATGTCTCACTGCATAGGAAGGAAAAGCCTGTGAGGAGAACTGAGGTGGGGAGCATTTGCTGTAGGCTGAAGGCAGACCTAGTCAGCTGGCAGGTAAATAGTGTGGCCCCTGGAGAGGACATGAGGGCAACGCTTTCCTTACAGGGATTATACAGTCTGCACAGGGAGCACCAAGTAGTAATGAGAAGCTTCAGTGACTTGGGACAGATTCAGTATGTCAGAGTGTAAGAGCTAAATGTGACAAGTCTTTCAGAATTCCTCAAAAAGGAATGCAGGCACTGTATGGAACTGTTACTAAGGATTTCATTCACATCAGCAAAGGAGGATTGATTGATCACAACATTATAATGGAAAGAGGTACATGGATCCTAACTGTATTTTCAGAGGTAGAATGATCAAGACTGAATTGTGGATTGTCTAGAGATGAAGGAAAGAAAAATGTGAGCCTAGATTTCTGTCTCGTACACGTGAATAGATGATGGAGTAATTCCCCGAGATGCTCGAGTGGAACATGACAGTAAGACTGGGAAGGAGGGGAAGAAATCACAAGTTCAGGTTTGGACAACATGAGCTTGATATACATTTGAGACATCTAAATAAAGCGAGTAGTTTGCTATCTAGATCTGAGTCTCAGAACAGAAGGTGAAGAACAGTTGCTATCTTCACTGAATTAAATAAGAAGGTATCAGCAGACGATGTTAAAAACCAAGGAGTAGACAGGAATTTTCAAGATGAAACCCAGTCAGGGGCACCTTGGCCTGCCTGTCTTTGGTACTGACAACATTGTTTACTGGTACTTTGGGGAGAAAAAGATAAAGTCCATATACCATCACTCACTCACTCACTCATTGCTGTCAAGTATCAAATGACTTCTACCTCACCCTCCATTCAGAAGTGTCTTCAGTCACTTGGTATGCATCTGAGAGCTGGACAGTGAATAAGGATGACAGAAGAAGAATTGATGCCTTTGCACTGTAATGTTAGAGAACAGTGCTGAACATCCAATGGACAGCCAAAAGAACAAACAGATATGTCTTGGACATGGGACAGCCAGAATGCTCCTTGAAGGCAAAGATAATCTCACATATTTGGGGCATGCTGCTAGAAGAGGTGATTCCTTGGACAGCATGCTTCAAAAAATGGACATGAAGAGGAAGACCCTCGACTAGGTGGGTTGACATGGTGACTGCAGCAATGGGCTTGAGTGTGTCAGATTGGGAAGATGGCACAGCATAAAACACTGTTCAGATTTTTAGTTCATAGAATTGCTATGAGTCGTACAACTATTATATACCCTCCACTGGGTTTCCAGAGCTGTAAATCACATAAGAGGAGATTGTTCACCTTTATCCCTCAGAGCAACTAATGGGTTTGAACCACCAAAGAGGCGTGATCTTTGCATTAGTATCACAGACTGGTCCACCACAGCTTCAATATACCACTGTAGTGAGTACGTGTTATGGAGAGAAAAAAGCAGGAGTATACATTTAGCATTAGAACAAGGTCCTTTGTCTACATCAGGAATTTTTTAAGGACCTAAAACTTACCTAGAAAAAAACCCCTTTCTCATGTTAACTTTTTTTCTTTAATTAAAAGAAATTAATGTTGTTAAGTGCCATCGGGTAGACTATGACTCATAAGACTCATATGAGCAACAGATCTGAACCTTGTCCTGTCTTGTGCCATCCTAAACAGATCTCTGATTTAGTGCTCACAGCATGCCAAGCTAGCACCGTACTGTTTTGGGTAGATTTCTGCTTACCCTTCAGAGTAATTTCGTGAGGTCAGTACCATAATTTCTTTCCAATACTTGGTTGAGGAACCGAAAGCCCTTTGAGGTTAAAACTTGCTCAAGGCCAGTTAGTAGCTGTGAAGCTGAGACTAGAACTCAAACAGTCTAATTTCTGAATCTGAATTCTTTTTTTTTTAATCTGAATTCTTAACCCCCAGGTGGTTAAGAATCCAATGGGCTTTCAGAGGCTAAAAATTCTTTACAGGGAGACTGCCTGTCTTTCTCCTGTAGAACAGCCGGTGGTTTCAAATCACTTGCCTTTTGATTGGCTGTGCAGTTCCACACCACTAGGCCACCAGAGCTCCCTTCATATTTGTGTGTGTGCTGTGTGCATACACAGATCTTTATCTCTTACATAATTAAACAGATATCACAACATGCGTTTGCTTCTTTGTGATTAAAAATATATTTCTAAAAGTAATTTAGTCACATAAAGATATTTAGGGAAAAGAAATCATGGATGAAAAGGAAATATATAAAAAATTAAATGTAAAAAATTAAAAGTATAATCACTGTTCTAGTTCTTTTTCATTTCACTAGGGCTTGATTTTTCGTTTGGAAATTGTTGTTATTGTTTTTAGGAGCCATAGAGTCCAGAACAACTCAGACCTGAGCCCTGTCCTCTCCTGTACAATCCTCATCATCTCTGACACACTTGAGCCCATTGCTGCAGCCACCATGCCAGTCCATCTGGTTGAGGGTCTTCCTCTCTTTGGCCAACCCTCCACCTTTCCAAGCATGAGGTCCCTTTCCAAGGAATAACCTCTCCTAGCACCATGTCCAAAGTATGAGTGATGAAGCTTCACCATCCTAGCTGCCAAGGAGCACTCTGGCCAGACTTCTTCCAAGACCTATTTGTTCTTTTGGAAATTTCATTAAATCAAATCTGAACTCTTGTCATAAGCACAGGATTTGGGACCTACATTATGGGGCTGTATGTCTCAGTGTATGTATATAATGTATGTAGCTGAGTAATGAGATTGAAAGGGATCTTGGGATCACTCAGTCACACCCTTGCCTAAAAGTTTAAGGAACCAAGTCTCAAGGATTATGCCTCACCGGAAATGCCCCAGGTGGTACTTAGTCTGAAGCCTCAGCGTGGGCTTTCCTCAGCTGTAAAATGGGATAAAAATGTACACCCGCTCTCTTATTACCAAGAATGGTTGACAGGATCAAATAATGGTTTTAAAAACCATAATTAGCTATGCCATAATTGAGAGATGGTCTAATATTTTGCTACACTTAAGATTGTTTTTATGCCCTTTCCCAGGAAGAGTTGAAATGATCTTCCTAGAACCTCCTCCAGCCCCTCCTCTCCAAGCATGGAGTGAGGGTATCTGGGAGTCACAGGTCTTTCCTGGAGTTCAAGCATATGGTTGGCTCCTGACTAGACTAAACTTTCAAACATTCTAGCAATACAAGATATCCTCCTTATGTGACATTCTTTTGAGGCCTGTCCACATTTCTTGAAATGAATCACAATTTTGTGCATCATTTTAGGATTCCTGAGTGACATTCTTAAATGTCAGAATAGACTAAAACTTGGTCTTGAACATAGAGAAGCTAAAGGAAGAAGATAATGAATCAGAGAGAGCCGGACAGGAGATTCTAAAGGGCAAATAAGAGACAGGAAAACATAATGAAATATGCCATGACTAAGACGGAACTAGAAGGGCAGGGCATGCTCAGCATTTCTCAAGCTGAAAACTGAAGAACACAGTCAAGCCTTGTGTTACAACACTGAAAAGTGCAGTGGGTCAGATACTGAGTGATGCAGGAAGTATCAAAGAAAGATGGTAGGCATACATAGAATCACTGTACCAAAAAGAATTAGTGGACTCTAAACCATTTTAGGAAGTAGCATATGAAGAACTAATGGTAATGAAGAAATCCAAGCTGTACTGAAAGCATCGGCAAATACAAAGGCTGTCGGAATTGATGTCTACCACAGAGGCATTTCAGCAAACATTTGCAGCCTGGATGTGCTCTCTCGTCTATGCCAAGAAATTTGGCTTAAACAAGATCCATATTTGTTTCCATTTAAAAAAATGGTGACCCAACAAAATGTGAATATTATTAAACATTACTACTCATTCACCAATTATTAATGCATTTTGAGTGCATGTTGATCAGTTTTGAGATGTAAAATTGAAAGTTTCAATTTCTTCATCTTTGGCTTTAATGATCAGTGTATATTTGAATTATATTGACAGGTCTTCCTTGACTGCTTGTGGGTAGTATCCTGTCACAGCATTGTACTTCAGGATTGATTTTAAATTCTCCTTTTGATTATGCATGCAACACTTCACCAATTTCCATTGTAGGCATAATCTTAAGATTGTCTGATTAAAAATGCCCATACCAGTCCATTTCAGCAATGCCTAGGATAGCAATCTTTCTGTTCCATTT